AAATTAAAAAATAATACACACCACACAAAAAGAAGGAAACCTTCAGATTGTAAGTTTACTCATAACTATTGAGAATGAACCATAGAGCATATTGTCATTTCTTCTCTATATATGGTATGCTTCATTTTAAATATATATATATTTTTTGAGGTGGAGTCTTGCTCTGTCACCCAGGGCAGAGCACAATCTCAACTCACTGCAGCCTCCGCCTCCCATGTTCAAGTGATTCTCCTTTCTCAGCCTCCTAAATAGCTAGGATTACAGATGCGTGCCATCACACCTGGCTCATTTTTGCATTTTTAGTAGAGAGGGGGTTTCACCATGTTGGCCAGTCTGGTCTCGAACTCCCCTCCTCAGGTGATCTGCCTGCCTCAGTTTACCAAAGTGCTGGGATTACAGGCCTGAGCCACCTCTCCTGGCTGCAAATATATTCTTATGCAAGTGTTTGAATATTATAATAAATCTCTAGAGTAAATTCAGAAAATAAATAGGAAAGTCACTTAAGAGTGCTCTGGTTTTAAAATTATCCTGATTACTTAAAAAAAGTGCTGTAATTTAGCAATGACTATCATTTTTGGCATCAGGAGAATGAGAAAATAATAATTTCCTAAAAGACCAAGAACTAGTCTTTTTGACTAGTGCTGTGAAGAAAGACTCCAGAAGATGTTTTTACTGATCAAGTAACATGAATTAGCGCCATGATCTAATCTTAAGGAAATAATTCCCAGCAGATGTGGAAAAGAGAGAGACCAGACTCCTGTCTGCATTTCATTTAGAAGCCAGTCATCTTTTCTTTTCAGGTAGGATTTCTCACCCCCAACCCAAAATAGAGTTTAAAATAAATTAAATGATGAATTTATACATTATCACTTATTTGGAACAATTCAAAGAACAATAATTATATTTCTTCCCTTTCCCCACCCCATGCTATTCCCTGAAACCCCCCCACCCCCCGTAAGATTTGGTTGCTTCTTGAATTGGACATATGACTAATTGGGGCAAAAACACAAGTGGGGGAAAATAAATGTGAGGCAAGTGGTTTTGGAAAACTGCATCAAGAGAGAATCTAAAGATATAAAATGTCATAAAAATGTAGGATACAGATATTGCTAGAACTTAGGACTTGATCAAATTGTGAAGTAATTACATAAAATAGAAATATGCATGAAGACATATCCTAGCAAAAGTTTCAAACCTTTGTGTAAGGTCTTTAGTGCCAATGCAAGAGTTACTGTATAAGTTTTTAGCTAGCATGAAAACGGAATTGGGAAAAATAACAGTTTACTGGAGCTACTTTTGGTGGCTTAAAATCTGCCATGATGAGAGGACTTATGCTGTGGAAATCAGTAAATGCTGCAAATCAGGGCTCCTCTTTCCTTTATAAAGGAGAGCTGGTTGACCAGTCTACCAATGAAAACAACTTTCATAGGGATTTCCACAGGGACTAATGAAATTCTTAGCACCTGTCACAAAGATCTTCCCCTATAGCTTTGGTGGTGGTGATAGCAATTTTAGGGAATAACTAAATGTTTCTTTCTATAAACATAGGACTTCTAATGCCCATCCTAGTAATATTTGGTGTTTAATTATTTCTCTCAGAATTCATGTTTCATCAAGCCTTATTAGAAAAGATTTCTCTACAAAATGGTTCCTGTTTCACTTGTCTTCACTAAAAGCTAAAAGAGATAAAACACACTTGGGGACAGGAAAACTTCCTGCTTTCTAGTAAGCAGAAATGGAACCACTTGATAAACTGTCTAGAGTTACTGGAACAGAGTCAAAGCCATAGAGAAACTAGACCTGCTTTTGTGTGTGTGTGAATGACGGTGTTAAAGAATGTAACCTCTCTTAACTTCTCTACACCCCTTACAGACAAATTGCTTATACTGATACAACCCTCAATGGTAACTCACTTCACACCTCCATTTTCTTTCTTGTTATCACCAAGATTAAACAGCATGTTTGGGCATTATTTTGCATTTATCTAACCTTTTCCATAGAGGCCACACTGCTTCAACAGAACAGGTTTATGTACCTCACACGTCAGATCTAATCAAGGAACTTGGTAGTGACAGCTTGATAAGAACATCATGGCTTATTGAACTTGTTCTAAAAACAACAGCAGCAAACCACTCATCTCCTCACACTTTTTAATGACCTTGTTCTATTAGATGACCTTTAGATGCAGCAGATGCAATTACTGTGTGGCCTCAGAGGATACAGAGTGCTGAGGGTATGTGTATTACACCATTTTTTATTCACCTACGGCTTTGGTGGTGGTGGTAGTGATTCTGGGGAATAAATTAATAAATATTTCTTCCTACAAACCCAGGACTTCTAATGCCCATCCTAATAAGATTTGGTGATTCATTATTTCTCTTGGAATTCAAATTTCATGAAGCCTTGCATTTTGTATTCTATCATTAAACATTCTAGAGAGATCTGCATTTGCCTCAATTACCTATTGAGAAAGGAGAGATCTGGGGGTAGTTTTAACCTTCACCTTGCCAATGACTTCAACCAAAGAGAAAAATTGGTTTGTCATACGAGAAAAAAAAAAATTGCTGGGAGTTGTTTGCTCCTCAGAATGTGCAGCACTGTCATAGACAGTAAGAATGCTAACTCATATAGCAAGGAAGAAATGTAAAAAATGAAACAAACAAACAAACAAAAATGCTAACATACTTCCTTGTCTTAGGGTAACATCCCTAGGGTAAGACACATAAAGTAAAAATAATCCCAAATATGAAATTAAAAATTTAAAGACTAATTTTCTAACATGTTTTTGGTTTTTTTGAATTTTTTTTTTTTGGCAACTCATTTGGCTCCAATACATTCCTGTGACATTTCCAAAAGCTTTACTATGAACACATTTCATACAATATTGAACAGATAATTCAACTACATTTTTAACCTTTTTAAAAATTATTATTGCTCTTATTCAGTTAAGTTTATGGTGAATTTTATTATCCTGGTGAAGTTCTTCTGATAAGATTCTAATCTCTATGGAATTTCAGATCTTTCTGCTCCTTGTGGTTAAAACAGGATGAGAAGCATTCAACTGAACTGACGTTTTAATTTTGTCATTCAGTTATCTTTTTAAACCTGCAAATATTATTCTCTAGCATATGCCCTGGAGGTCTGTGGTTTCCTCTGTTTTGGGATAACACTGCACTGGTTAAGGCAGACACAATCCAGGAGGAATGGTAGACAAACCATAGGGTACTTCAACACTGATTTAGTGGTAATACATTTCAGAATAACCAACAGCAGCACTGTGAGTTTGGAAGATGAAATTCTGTTTTCTCTGAAATAAAACCAATGTTATAACCTTTTTGGTGAGGGGAAGATAGGGCATACTTCTAAACACTGGCTTATTTTTGGGGTGACTTTGAGTCTGACCACCCTGCATTTGGATGGGTTGACATTTTCCCAGAGCACCTCTATCATGGCCCTCTCCTCCTCTTTGAAGCTCTCTCGTTCTTCTTGAAGCAAAATAGAAACAGTTTTTGTTAGTACTGGGGGTCCTTTTGTCTTCTCACCTCTGGTTCCAGGTAAAATCATTAAAAAATTGTGAAATATTTCAGTTATTCCAACATGTACAGAAGATGAGAATTGAGTACCCATCATCTAGCACTTAAAAAAAATAAAATATTACAAACACAAGTGAGCTCCCTGTGAATTCCTTCTCAGAGGCAACCACTATTTCCACATGTTTTTATACTTTTCTATATATGTGTACATCCATAAACAATATATCATAATAAATTGTGTATCTTTGTTTTTATATTGGTGGTTACCTTTTTTTCCACATTATTTTAAAGATCAGCTACCACATATAGCTCTGATTTATGATTTTCACCTCTTATTTCATAGTATGAGTATTCAACAACTTATTTATCCATTCTTCGGTTGATGCTTTAATGTATAACTTAGTACTCCTCTCCTTGAGCAATATTGCGAGAATTTCTTTAGGATTCCTAGGACCTAGGGTTGGAATTTTGGGGTTATTGTATATACACATTTTTAACTTCACTAGATATTGCCAATATCAAAAGAGGTGGAACCACCAGCAGTAAGGCCCACCCATCTGTTTAACGAGCCCTCAAGGTTCAAAGTTTCAGATTCAGTAGTCTGAAAGAGAGGTGGTAGTGGTGGGTAGTATGGCCAAGAAGTTACATTTCTGACATGCTCTGAAGTGATGCTACTACTGCTTTAGTGTAGCATCTGGGATTATATTTTGAGAACCAGTGTTCTATGCTCTAGAGAAAGCCTATTAGATTACATTCTGAAAGAGAGAGCTGATGAGACACAATCTGAAAAGAAGTAGCTGGTGAGGTTTTATCAGGTTATAATATATATAATTTTAGCATTCAGACTCTTATAATAAAGATAATATACAGTAAATAACCATGAATGGTTGTCATCAAAAGTTAAATTCTTAATGAGTTTTTATTGTCAGAATGGGACCTCTGCATGTGCTCTTGGTATTGCTGTGCTGAGGACAGAGGAGTAGGCAGGGGGCCAGGTGTCAGGCTGGGCATGCAGTGAGCCTGGCTGATGTTACTTAGAGTGTTAAAGTATCTTGACTGTGTCCATAAAACCCAGGCACTGGCCTACATGAAGGCGTGAATGTTTACTTGGGGGTTCCTCAAGACTAAAGGCATGAGGCTGACTTGGATATTCTGAAATATTTATATGCAAAAAACTTCACCCATATTTATAGTCTATTTTTTATTTATAATCTTTTATTATACTCCAAAGTTAGTGAAAGGGAGGTTTCCCAGAAATATTCTTTTTGTAAGAACTTGTTATTAAAAAACCTTGAACGGCCAGATGTCGTGGCGCTTGTGAAGGCGAGGTCATGAGTTCAAGGCTAACCTGAGCAACCTTACAAGCTCACACTGATTGGCAAAAAAAAAAAAAAAAACCTTGAAAAGGAAGCCTTCACATATTTTAGGGTGAAAGGACACAAACAGGTTTGCATAGTCTGCAAATGGTTAACATGTAACAAGGAAGGAAAATTATTTTATTTCAGATTTAGCAATATAAAAGGTCAGGTAGGAAAAAAACGCATGTACCAGTGACTAAAAGCATTTACTTACATCATTCCACAATTTGCAAAACAAGATAATTGTTTTTCAAAACCAGACAACAGGTTCGGAAATACTTCTTTTCACACTCCTAAGTGATGCTGTTGGGAACAATGGCTGTTACAAGGCCACTGCTGGCACATTTCCAGCAAGTTCTGGTTATCGTTATTCTTATTTTATCTTCTTTCTTTTTTCTCTCTCATCAGCTTTTTGCTTTCTTCCCTCCTCCTTTTATTCACTGGATTCCGAGGATCATAGATTTCAAATGTGTCTGAGTCTTGCATGCTTGCATCTTTCACTTTTCTGCTTTTATCCTCAAACTGAAGTACATGTGACATCCTAAAGAGGGAAAGAGATGGTTCAGTGATTCTTGCATGGGAACTTAAAGTAGAAATTCTATACTCTACTATCATTGGCATAATGAACCATAAGCGTACGGAACACCAAGATGGGTTTGTTGTTTACTGGTTCTTACACCACATGGAAACCAATTTCTCAGAAACCTCTTAAATTTGAAAAACATGTCTGGAGTTTGTTCTGTTGGTTTATATTTCTAGTAGAGTATCTTTGCCTCAGTTTTCACTTGAGGTTTCTCCCCTGATGGGAGGTTAAAAGAGTTCTATACAGAAGCGTTCCTCAAAGTAAACTCAGAGGACACTGCTTCCTTTAAAGAACACCTTCCTTTAGCCAGAGTGAGTCAGGCTGCAGAACAAAACTCAAGACAATAAACCAGTCCTATCTGATTTTTAAAATTTTCAACAGTTACATGGGTCAAAAGTAGGGAGTACATTAAGCTAATTTAAAAATGATGTTCAAATGGTGTTATGACTCCCTTTCCTGGGGAATTGCCGGTTTAAAAAAATATTTTCTTCATACAAAAGGAAACTAAACTTTTGACATAACTCTATGGACTAATTTCCTTCTACTGTTGATTACAACAAACCTAACCAGTCCTGTTCTCTTACTTCCTCAAAAGCTCACTGGTCTTAAGGTATCAGCATACGCTGGAATCCTAAGAGGTCATAAGCTAGCTATCTTTAGGATCAGTGAAATATGTTAGTAATTAGCTGTGCCCCATACGAAGTGTCAGGAATAAACAGGGAAGTCAAAAGAGCAGACTTCAGAACAGTTGAATGAATTTGGAAAGAGAAAAGTTTAATTTTTAAACAAATAAAACTCTAAGTCTTTTCCTACCAGTTATACCCTATACACACTTTTCTTCATCACAGCAGACAGGGTTAAACTGTAGTATTAATACTTCTTATACGCCTGTTTTAACCCAAATATGGTGCTAATATCTTTTGTCCCATATAAGCAGATGAAACCCAAATATGATGCTAATATCTTTTGTCCCATGTAAGTGGAGATCTGGGCAGTAAGTAGGCAGTAGTGAAGGTCCCTCTCCCTACAGCGGCAGAAATTATGAGTGATATTTACTTGTGTGGCAAACTCCCATGGATATACCCAGATTTTAAAGACTCCTAAAAAGATTATAGGAGGGAAACAAAATGTCACAATTTTAGTGATACCATCATTACTAAGGGTTCAGTAGCTGCTACTCACCAGGGCTGACGAGTTGAGGCTTATGTACCATTTCTACCTTCCCTTGTCCCACCTAAGAAAGCTTGCTGGAATGTAATAAGTAGGAGTGATATATATGGATGATCTAGAATCTACTTTAATTTACTGAATGACTTAAGTCATGTTCACATTTTTATACTTCATTATTATTATTGTTATTTTTGAGAGAAGATCTTGCCATGTTGCCCCAGATGGTCTCAAACTCCTGGGCTCAAGTGAGCACCCTGCCTCAGCCTTCCACGCAGCTGGAATTACAAACACGTGCCACCATGCGTGGAACTATATTATTAATGATACATTATTTGTATCAAATTTAATAACAGATCTCAATACCTGAACATGCTATTTCACATGTGGAGTTGCCAAGTTTTTAATCTTCCATTCCTTTAGTAAACACCTTTATTTAAAAAATGTATTGTATAATCATTGCAAAGTCTAATATTCTTGTGCTTTCAACTTCCTATAATGTTTAGATATTAGCTTCTGAAAGTAAGACAATCTCTAACTCCCAGAAAAAGGCTGACTGTTCTACAGTCATGGTATTAAGTAAACCACTAGAATCAGTTGGAAAAACAATTAAACCAGATTTAAGCAATTAATGATGTCTCACCAAGGTCTAAATGATCAGTGACAACTCACTTCAGTAAATACACCTCTGAAAGCCAATTAACCAGTGACAGCCACATGCTTTTGAAAGTTGGCCCATCAACTGCAGACTCACTCCAGTGAATATGCTTCTGAATGACAGCCCATCAACAATAGTCTCTTTTGAATAAAGGGGCTTTTGAGATTAATAGCTACACCTAAACAATTCCTGACCCCAAAGCACTATGTAAGATTTGCCACCTACTTTGCGTAGGGACACTGTGCCTTAAAAGCACAGTTCTTCTTTACTTAAGTAATAAATTAAGCCTTTTTTCCCCCAGTTATTGAGAGGTAGCCTTTTTCTTCAACATTTCTTACAGTCTTTGCTGCATCCCCCACAAAATATACTCTTTAAAATTGTAAAATTACCACTGATGAGGAGTAACTGCAGAAGAATGGTAGGACTGTCCTGTTAAAGGTCCCTTACCACACATCATGGGGAGTCTAGACCCCTCTACTGCACTTCAGTACATGATTAGCAGCAGCTTTCCAAGTGCTTATGGCTGGCTGTGTTGATGTCTAATCCATCACCAGAAAGTGTAGCAAGAACCATATGCCCTTTAAAACAATTTCATCAATACTCTTGGACGGATATGAGAAAACAAACCTACTATCTTATTAATACCTCTTCATATACATATTCTTCTATTTAAAAAATTATCCTGTTCTCTGCCCAGAAATACAGATGAGTTTTTGTAATATCCATTTCTAGGGATATTACATGGATTCTCCATGTTTCAAAAATGACTTGATCAGACTGTTGTCAATTAAGAATATAAAAAGGCACCTTCTTACTTTCTATGCCATGAGAAAATCTTGCAACTATTAGATTTAGTTGGCTCTGGTATAAAAAATGAACTCTAGACACATGAATAACAGCATAAAGTCCGCAAGAAGAAACAGATTTCCTTACAAATTTGAAAAAAACCATAGAGCCGTAAGTTAAAGGAGCTGTCTTTTTCAACTGTTTGTTTCATACACCACTCTACTAAGCAAGTTCAACATTTTGATTAATAACAAACCTAAACCCAGAGGAAAGAAAGGGCTATCAGCTTACAAACTACTTCAGCTTTAATATCATAATACTTAGCATGGCTGGTTATTTGGCAATAATATTTAATCTTTAAGAGAAATAAAAGCATAATCAAAATGCTTCACCATTTATCTTTCAACATGCTTTGGTCACTTCATTTTGAAAAGCAAAACAAAACAGTTATTATGATTTTCAGCATAATAAATTCCTGACCTACGTGCCTCTATAAATCACAGACTGTATGAATTGAAAGCGTGCCTGTACTTTACGGTCTCCTATGAGGATACACAAGCAGACATAGAATACAGACTTAATTTGAGTACAGGGGGTCTTATAGTTTACAATCGTGTATGTCCCAATAACTCTATCCACTCTGTGGCTGTTTATGGAATTGGCCCAAGAAGAGTAGTGAATTTTTTGGAATTAATGACACACTGATCATTTACATATGAAAATTGTAGAGCTTGTTCACTTGAAGGCAAAAATAAAAATTTAGGTTTGATTAATAAAAAATTTCACATAGGCTCAGATTCTCAAATGACATTGACTTTATAGTGTGTTACAGAAATAGCGAGGTTTACTATTTTCACAGAGGTTGTGTTTGACAGGAAAGTGGTTTTTTGTTGTCTTTTTTATTTTTGGTATGGGGCTGTGTAAACTTATAAACAGAAGTAAACAACTGATTCTTCAAAAAGGATCGAGACCTAGACTGACCTCACTAACTTGATATCCAGTTTTTATAGTTCTTCCTCAATTGTGAAATAGACTAAAATACGATAGCAATTTGTATCAGTGGGAAATATCAAGAGAGGAACTGATTCTCAGACACACAATAAGTAGCCCAATATAGAATTCCAACATTAGCAATTCATTTCCAATTTAAATGAACTTAAATTATTTATACTTATATAATGTAAACAGCTATATTTTTCAGTGTGAATTCTATAAATCTCTCCTTCCCACATCCAAGCCACCCTAACTTAGGAACTTACCACCCAATCCTAAGATTGTTGCAGGTGTCCTAATTATTCTATATCTGTACTACTTCCTTCCCAGATCCAAAGCTTAAAAAATAATCTTTCTTACACGTTTCCTTTATAGCATTCTTATGATCAGAAACTATTGGTTATCATATTAGACTGAACTAAATACCTCAGTTTGATCCTTAAAAACCCTCCAACAACTGGTGCTTCCTATTTCACCAACCTTCTTTCATCCAGTCTCCTCATTTTGTAATTGCCTGTTTACTTTATTGTGAACAGACTCAGTTGTCTGAGATAGTTTGAGTCTTGTTCACTGTTGCATCCCCAGTGCCAAACATGGTGATGTGTGCTGGGAATAAGGCCTTCAGACCCTTCGTACTGGTCAGGCCTGTTGGCTGGTACTAGAAGGATTGCTAAGCTAACAGTCAATTTCCTTTTGTGTGCAGACACTATCTTCTATTTTGATGATAAACTCCCTAAACCATCTCCCAGACTCTGCAGAAAGTCTCAGGCTCAGCGTAAGTCCACCTTTTCATGATCTCTCATAGCTCAGCAAATACTGGTAGTTGCTTTTCCACTCATTTATATTAGTGATTGATTGCTAGTTTGCATTCCCTTAATAGACTGCAGTGGGAACACACCTTATGTTCTTTTCCATCTCCTATAGCCCCTGATGTAGAACTAGAGAGAAGGCCCTTTTTAATTTTTATTTCTTAAAGCAATGTTTCTCAAAGCCTAGTTCTAGAGTCCCTGCGTCAGATGCAGGTTGCATGTTAAAAATCACCAAGTAGCTTTAAAAACTATCAGTGCCAGGCTTCCAACTCCAGGGTTATTGATTTAATTGTCCTGGGATGGGGTCCCAGCATTAGCAATTGAAAAAAATGTTCTTAGTTATTTTTAAATGCAGTCAAAGTAAAGGGCACAGAAAAAAAGCTTAAGAGCCTTTAAGTTTTCAGATTGATTGATTTCATTAGCCCTTTGTCCTTGCCCCTTCAGAGATGGAGAACAGCTGGTTCCTAATGACAAACTACTTGAAGAAACTCAAGTAGCCTCTGAGTCTATTATTTGAACTGAATAATCTCAAGTGCATTATTTAT